TGTGTACGTACACGTGCGTGCGTGCGTCCGTGCGTGTGCACGTACACATGCGTGCGTACGTGTGCACGCACACACGTGCGTGCGTGCGTGAGTGTGCACGTACACGTGCGGGCGTGCGTGCGTGTGTACGTACACGTGCGTGCGTGCGTCCGTGCGTGTGCACGTACACATGCGTGCGTACGTGTGTACGCACACACACGTGCGTGCGTGCGTGCGTGTGCACGTCCACGTGCGGGCGTGCGGGCGTCTGTACGTACACGCACGGTTTAACCCGACGTTTCGTTCCCCATTGAAGTGTTCTGAAACTCCATATTGATTGAAGGATGACTACTCGAGAGCTTATAGGTATCTTATCTAAGTATCTTTATCCGTTAATACACCCTACCGCTGACATTACTGGGGATACCCTTCTGCCCTGTCACTGCCCCTACACGGCCGACTATTAAACATTTTTAGGACTAATTACGGTTTCGAGTGGGGATACAGTGATGAAACGAGTGGGGTAGTGAGATAGGGAGGTGCTAAAACAAGAAATAAATAGAATACGTCACTCGGCATGTACTCACATCCGGTGTGAACATGTAGGATAGTCCGATTCCTGCTCCAGGTAAGGTGAGGGCACGGCCACAGAATATGATCAGGACCATGTACGGAAACGTAGCAGTGAAGTACATTACCTGAAGTAGAAGAATATATATCATCAGGAGTGTATCAATATATTGATACACTCCTGATATCATGTTGTATATATATGCCAATTTTAGTACTAGTGTATGTTCATCTTTGGTGTCAGCTACTATAGCAATGCAGCAAAGAGATGCATGCTTAATTAATTCTGTACACACACCATGCAGAAGCTATAAACGTGCAATCTGCACACAGCTGCTGGTCACCCCATGCGAATCCCATGGTGTCAAAATTTATGCTCGCCCACAAATCACTTGAACTATGACGAACACTAAAAGCTTAATTTAATCTGGCGAAATATTTCACAATTACAAACAAATAGCTCTCACTACATGGCTCTTGGGGTATACGAGATGACAGCGTTACATGCGTCAAACTTCATGAGCCTTCTGAACAGAATTGCATTTCTTGACGTAACTACTCGGTGAAGACGCGAGACTGCGTGGTTGTGTGGACTGTGACCTCGGTGAAGGTCGTGTTATTATTCTACTGTAATGTACACCTGTGCATCTACAATCTACATACATGTACACTATACCTACGTAATAAATCACCAACCTTATAGATTATACCAGGAGTTAATAATGCCAAACTTGTCATTATTAACTCCTGATTATACTGATAGTGCTTCTCTCAAACCATATAATAAAATTGTCAAAAATGCAACATATACAACATTACATTCATTAACACTAAAGCTGGGTTTACACTATCGACTTTATGCAGGCAACTTGGCGTTTTTCTTCTTTCTACCTATATACATGTTCGAAGCTCTTAATTATGTTATCGATCGCGAGGCGTGTCGTTTCCATAACAAATTACTTCAAACAAGATAAGCTGGAAGCATTCACATATTATGATTAAAATTGTTGTTTCTTATTCTGTGATACGTATTACGGAATATGAATTTCCCCTCATAGAGGTTAAAACATTCATATATGCAGCACAATGACAATAACTTGGGATCAATTAATTATGGCTCCACCGCGAACATACTGCACCTAAATTAACGATAAATTTACACTACTATATTTTGCAACTGTGATGCAAACGTATTGATGCAAATATCAGAAACTCAACATGTCACCAGAGATTCGCCAAGCATCGTGATAGCCCTTTCACTATTATGAAACGGGAGCCTAATTAATTCCAGCATATGTTACGCAGCCGTTACTGAATTCGTGTACATGTATATCAGTTATGTGCACATAACTTTACAATTAGCTTCTGCACGTGCAAGTTTTATATATACACACAAAGAAAAAATAGGGCTCCATATTAGGATAGATAGACGAGTCCCCGGGGGGGGGGGGCACTCCCTATTGCATGGTAGGTATCAAGAGCGTATTAAGAAGCCTTCTTTTCAAGCCTTCTTGATACGCGCTTGTAGGTATGTGCCGCGGTTATGATCGCCCTTTTCTCCTCGATATTTCCGGACCGGAGACCTCCTTTTTTCACATATTTCTCGTCCAGGAGCATAGATATTACTTTTTCCGCACTGGACACCCCCCTTTTCACATATTTCCCGTTCCGGAGACCCCCTCTCCCTTTTCATATATTTTTCGTCTCTGCGCATATATGTCCTACTTCTTCCCGCAAGTTCCGGAGACCCCCTCTCGCAAACATGTCCAGTTCCGGAGCATCATACTTTATAGCAAACCCTAGTTCCGGAGACCCCCATTTTGATGTGCTGTGATACCCCCGTCAGACTGGACGGCGACCATCCGCGACCGTACGGCGACCAGAAAATATACAAGGTCGCCGGCAAACGTGAACACAACGCGAGAAAAAGGCCCAACAGATTACAAAATTGAAAAAAAGCCGTGACCTGTGCGATCATACCGCGTTCTCACGGCGCGCCCGCCACGACCTTTCCGCGCTTATGGCGTTTCTATTGAGATCTATGGGCTTAGCAACGGCGATCACCGGCGTTCCCGCGGCGCTCTCACCACGCTCATGGGGTTCTTACCACGCGTCTTCTACGTGTATCGCGACTGCACGGCGACCTCACGGCGTTTCTACCACGTTCTCACGGCGACTATATAAGCTGGTCAGATTTTCGGAGATTTCAACTGTATAGTTGTGCGTTTGCTGAGTAGAAACACGATGCCGAAGAAACAAGCTACCATAGGCCGAGGCCGTGGCCGTGGCCGAGACAGATCGGCATGAAACAGTTCGGCAGATCGGATGAGACAGATACATAAAGTCGCCGTTGCAAATGTTACAATTTTTGCAGTCTTTGCCACGCGTGTACTGCGCGTGTACTACGTTCATGAAGATGTTACGACGCTTGTCTCACGACCTTCGCGACCCCACCGCGTTCTCACCGCGTTCCAGGTCAGATCGCCGAACCTTGGCGTTTGTTTTGAACATGCTCAAAACAAACGCCGTGACTCGGCGATCATTGGCGACCATGGCGACCACAGCACGATGTCTGGCGTTTCCACCACGCTTATACTACGCTTATGGCGACCATTTTCCGTCACCGTAGCAGCGCAGTGAAGACGCCACCCCGGACTGACGGGGGTATGAGTACCAGAGCCCCCCATTTTGATGTGCTGTTAGCATCGGAGCCCCCCAATTCCATCTCTCAAGTGGCACATACCTACCCTATTTTGTAAGGAGTGCCCCCCCCCCCCGTAAATGGCGTTCAAATGCTCAGACCTCTGCACTATACAATTTCACCGCACGCACACCACGGTGCACAATAACTAACAGAAAGATGGATCTGTCTCTATCTTTCTGTGAGTTTCCTGTTGACCCCTGTAGAGAATGTCATAACCACAAGCAGTTGAAAGAAGTTAAAATTATGTTAATATCTCCAAAACTGTGCTTCATTATTACCCATACATGCTAATGGCAGCCCATCGCTGTTCAAACTATACCTACGTTAATTACATTACACCCACCAAGGTGTGTATAGCACCATTTATCAATCGTTCAATATCGAGAGTAACCTCTAAATTAGCAATGTGCCTATTCGTTTTTCTAATAGTGATATAATTATTACATACAATGTGTAAATTCCATCAATCAGAAGATCAGTTTTGTATTATAAACCGTAAATTACACTTACACGTTGTAAGTAGTATAGTGAAAGTGTTCCGTAATTCAGAGTTATGCTCTCACTATTGCTAAAGTTTATCTATAAAAACTTAAAGCCATTCCAGGGTGAATGCGTCAGGCAAGTACAATTACAGCATTCTGAACGGAAACAACGTGCAGTTGCGAGATGCTTAATAAGCATAACGTGCATTAGCTCGAATACACAGAACAACATATAAATATGTATTTGATATGGCGTATTTGCATCGCACAGCTTGTACTGGATGTGACGGAATAAAAGGAAAGTATGAGGAATCACACGCTGAAACACATGCCATGCCACCCATCCTTTTCACATACCATTTACATACACTGGCAGTCAGGACTGGGTGTACTGTAGCGCCCAGAATAGGCTGATAATAAAATAAGTATGCGCATGACCCCTGCTGCCGGTATAACCACTATATACCTTAAATTCTTCTCTGCGATTTACCGTATACCTTATCCGTAGAGATCACCCACGCTACAGCGAATGGCTGCGTTACATAGCGATAACAACTACGTATAGGATCTTACGGCAAATAACATGAGGATAAAAGCACGCTGCTGGCAAATTCTTGTGGCTACAGCTATTTTCAGGAGTAAAAGGCCGGACACACTATGCGATTTTATCGGGCGACACAGTCGGGCGACACAGTCGGGCAACTCAATCGCCGGTGAAAATCGGCTAATGTGTCCAGTCAGTCGCCGCCGATTAAGTCGTCCGGCCCTTTAGATCGCATTAAAATCGCCTAGTGTGTCCGGCCCTTTAATAAAGACATTTTGGTGGGCGATGCCGCCTCAATGATAGCACAGGTATTATCCGCCTCAGTGATAGCACAGGTATCGTAGACGAAGTGAACATGGAAAACACATTTGACAAACTGAGCTGGGGTGCGGCACATTGCTTATCCTGTCAGATCGCGTCATATACTTAAAAATGAAGTCGACGATTTACTATGAAATGAACATAATAAATGAATTTGTTGAACTTTATATCTGTATTCCAATCCTATACAACTGACATTTTCATTTACCAACTGAGAAAGCGTGTTTTTTACAAAACGGTCTATATAGGGTTACAATCATCCAGTTTGGTTAAACATGTACTTTGTTAAAACAATTTTATTATAGTGTAATTCCATCTATGTATACAATTAGTGTACATATTAGATATGTAGAGGATTTGCTAAGTTAGCATTTATTAGCCAAAACGGACAAAGTGGACAATTTTGCATCCTGCATTTTTCAGCGAAATTATTTAGCAAGCATTTGAGGAGAAAACTAGAATTACCTTACTTGTTGGCTATATACGAACGTCGTAAACTAGCTAGCAGGTGAGAGACATAGACCATGCACAAGAAAGGACGCAGAGGGAGATGATGCATAATTGATCAAGGCCGGATGAATGAACAATTTAATAGGCATTCTACTTAGCCTACCTACCTAGTGTGAATGTGTGTGTGTGTGTTCGTATGAGTGCCTGCAAATATAAGTCTACCGCATGTGTATGCACTCAAGTCAGCTACTGCATGATAGTTATAGATAGACATTTATAACATTTTATCAGGAGTGAATAATAATACACTGTATTATTATTCACTCCTGATTTTATCATTAATGTCCTTTTCTACGCATTTATATCAGGAATACATAATAAACAGTTGATGATAAGGTGAACATTGACATGCACACAAATGTGATATCAACAACAACAACAATAATAATAATAACAATAATAATAATAATAATAACAAAACAAAAACAAACATCTGGAGGTACTTACCCTGCCTGATGACTTTATCCCCTTCATTATGCAGAAAAAAACAATAATCCAGGCTAGACATAGGCATCCAGCCATCTTCCACTGTATTCCACCAAATTCTTCAATACTCGGCGATATGTTCAATGCATCTCGGTACCAATAGTACGACGTTGCTGAGCTGATATGGCACTCGTGCACAACTGTGTTATTGTTACTACTGTCAACGGGGCACTCTGCCCATGGCAGCCGTTTTTGGAATGAGCTAAACAGGTAATACAGACACCAAGTTATGATCACGTTGTAGTAAACACCAAGGATAAATCCTAAGATGGAACTTGAGATTCCAACACCTCCTAGAAATGGATGGATTTCATTCCACACTCCTATACTGCCTTTGCGCAGCTTCTGTCCTATTCCAAGCTCGAGGTAAAAGAGTGGAATTCCCTCTAAACCCAACATGATAATGTATGGTATTATGAAGGCACCTGCAAATAATAGAGAACATGAATATCGAGCTAACTTGCATGAGTATTGTGTATGAGTATACATCAGTACTAACAAACCGTCGCAGATTGATAGCAGAGGTATATAGACCCCCCGGGGGCGGGTGCACTTCATATATATTGCATGGTAGGTATGTGCCGCGGGAGAGACCTCCTTTTTTACCCTAAACTTCCGTTCCAAAGCATCACAAGTTTGGCTGGTATTATTTCTCCGGCCGCCGGAGAAGCAGCGGTAAAAACCATCGTTATTTCTCCGGCCGCCGGAGAATTAAGAACAAATTTTCTTGTTAGATCTCCGGCGCCGGAGAAACAAGTGTACGTTTTCAGCACTGCTACTCCGGCTTTGCCGTAGAAGCAGTGCTGAAAATCATAGTTAAATTCTCCGGCAGACCGAAGTGTCCCGCCGCCGCTGTATGTATTAGGCAGGAAGACGGCCACGTGGTCTACCCAGCCATGTATCAGGATGTATCTAACCCTAATCTCAGCAGAATAGGGTGTGCCTCTGTACACGTCTTTAGCAATGTCTGACATCCCCGTCATGTCTTTTGTGTTATAGGACCTAGTTGCCTATCCAAGGGCTTATCAGTTTCAGTTTCGGCATTCAGTTTGGCGGCATAGTCTGCTTTTTGCCGGAGAAGCCAGTTTGATTCCTTGGCTTAGTTGTCCGGCTTGCCGGGGAAATAATCACTTCGCACAAGTTTACATTTTCGAACATAGCCAGTTTCAGAGCATCCCACATTCAACAAACATTAGTTCCAGAGACCCCCATTTTTAGGTCTGAGTTAGCTCCAGAGCCCCTCGTTTTTAACTTCGCAGTGGCACATACCTATCATAATGTGAGGTGAGTGTCCCCGGAATATAGACATTACAGTATAGACACACACACACACTCGTCGAGCTAGCGTTCACGATGTCGAATGACGGTCGCTTTGACATGATACTACACTATCATTTCCATAAATCTGTGTTCATTCTTTTCTGCCACTATAACCTCATAATCGCATACACATGATGGTAGTCTTCAAAGTCTAAGGAGACTACAGCGTTAGACGAAGAGAGAGATCGAGAGATCAACACGACGGATTGCAGTATCATTACTAGTTCGAATATATATATATACTATATATACTATATACTATATATATAATCGTGGGATCACATTAATGTATTATTATATATATTTATGTATATAATATACATATATATATATATAATCATGGGCCGGGCGCAGCAGGGGGCAGGGGGGGGGCGGGTCGCCCCTATATTTGGGCGAAGAAAAGGAAGAAGTAAGAGAGAAGAAAAGAAAAAGAAAAGAAAAAGAAAGAAAAGAAAGAAAAGAAAAGGAAAGAGCCTCCCCCCAACAAAATTTTGTTGTTGTTGAAATTTGGCAAGATTTACCGCTCAGGTCGCTCCATTTTAGTGTAATAATTGGAAAATCTGCCAATCATGGCGGAGGGGTAGAACGGTGCTAAACACGCCCCTCCCACACCGTCCCCGCGCTCGGGTCGCTTGCTCCTCGCTGCTGTTCGGGCTGGCTCCGGTCGCTTCGCCTTGTCCTTCCCTGGTCCGTCTTCGCGCCGAGAGCAGGGGCGTGTACAGGGGGGGTCTAGGGAGTGCCCGGCCCCCTTGCTCGCGCAGTCAAAACGCATCTGAGGGGCGTGTAGATTTTAAAAAATTCTGGGACGCCAGACCCAGACCCCCTTGGTGCTCGAACTTTGGTGTTGTACGTTAGACCCCCGGTACAAATCCCTGTACACGGCATCCCGTGCCGAGGCAAATTGCGAACATTGAACAAACGAACCCCCCCCAGAATCAAAGGGTGGTAGGGCCTATGTGTTGTGTGGTGTGTGTGTGTGTGTGTGTAGTGTGTGTGTGTGTGTCGTGTGTGTGTGTGTGTGTGGTTGTGTGTGTGTGTGTGTGTGTGTGTGATGGTGTGTGATGTGTGTGTGTGTGTGGATGACGCGATTGATAGTTAAGCGCGTACGCGGACGAGCCAGCAGCAGTCCGGCTGCTGCTGTTGAGCGGCGAGCAGATACCTGGCGTAATATCGTGGGTTTTCTGTGTGTTCGTGGAGTCGTGTAACGTATGTCGCTGGCGGAGGTATGGCTCTCTCCGTGAGTTGCCCTCTGTCTAGTTTTAGTTAGTGTGTGTTAGCGTGCGATGTGTGGTGTGTGTGTGTGTGTGCGTGTGCGTATGACGTTCGTTATGCACTCTCTCCGGTCATGTTTTTCGTCTACCTACATAAAAGAATTATTGTAGTGCTACAGATAGATTTTAAAGAATCCACTGTTCCCCTAGTTCCGGAGACCCCCTCTTTTAATGTCCAGTTTCAGAAAGCATTGCATTGTCAAGGAAAATCTAGGTAGTTCAGAGACCCATGTTTCGAACATGGAGCCGTTCAGAGCATACAAATTCAACAAACATTAGTTTCAGAGACCACATTTGCGTCTGAGTTAGTTCCAGAGCCCCACCCATTTTACTTGTAGTGGCAGATACCAGCTACCTACCAAATGTGGGGTTGAGCCTCGCCCCGGGTTTCATCTCTTGGTATATGTTGCTCTTGGTTCCGCTGCACCATTTTTTGTCAGCAATTCGAGGCTTTGCTTAGCTAACTGCTGAGAGGGGTTCCCCGGACCCTGCAGGGGGCAGCTAAGCGGGCGCCGCTTGGGCCCAGCGGGAATTCATACGGTTGCGCAAAGTGTAATTGAGTAACGGTTTCTATCTACCAGTACGTACGCCAAGCTCGTGAGGTGCGATCATACAACTTGGAGCGTAGCCTGGTACGCAAAGATGTGATGAATTCAGTGGTGATCACTCCGCATCGTGCTGCTGGTGTTGAGGGGCACGCCTAGCATAAACCAAGTCAGCTCTGCGACACTGACATACAAAACTGACGCTCTTTTGCTATGTAAAATACATATGGCTTTAGCTGTCTACAGGGAGTGCTGGAGGATGTGGATGTTGTCGCTCATTTTCGTTTGTATGATTGTGTTCCAACCTGCGATGAAGCAGCAACACGTACGGCGTGCGTGCGGGTGCGTGTGCACTGTACACATGCGTGCGTGCTGTGTGTGCCGTACAAGTGCGTGCGTGTGCACGTCAGCGTGGCGTGGTTGCGCTACTGTAAATGGCGTCGCGTGCGGTGCGTGTGTACGTACACGGTGCGGTGGTTGTGTGACGTAAAGTGCGTGGCGTGTGACGCATATGCGCCGCGGGTGGTGCACGTTACCGGTAACTACGGACTTCGCTATAAGAAACAATGCCACTATGACAGAAAAGCGTGCGGCAAGAGGCGCGCGCTGTGCTGTGTATATGGTATTATTTATTTATTTTAGTTGAGTATATTTTATAATGTTTTCTCAATAAAATAATGCATGCTGCGGTATGCTGGAAACACCTGCGGAAATTTCGAGTGGTTTACGGCACCTCGTCAGCTCGTGTAAAGTTACGCAAAGGTTTACGTAAATTTTAGCTTGATGAATCGCACCTAAAACGGCCTCGCTTGCGTACGCGAAATCATACGAAAATTTACTAAATAGCTGTGTTGATGAATCGCAACTAAGCAACGTCGATTGCGTAGGCTACACAAGATTTACGCAAAATATTTTGCGTACGCAGCTTGATGAATCATGAATCTACCCCCTGGACTCCACCCGTCAGTGCAAGCGCACACGGTATCAGTCTACAGTTCCCAGGGGCGTGTACAGGGGGGGTCCAGGGGGTCCGGACCCCCCCTGCTCGCGCAGAAAACGCATCTGAGGGGGTCTAATTTCAAAAATGCTCCTGTACACGCCCCTGGTTTCGCCCCCCCTAAGAAAATACCCTGGCGCCGCCCCTGTATATAATTATGTGATCGCCACGATCGTTAGACTGTTAGTGTTAAAAAATGTATATGATCAATGTTACCTCCTCCATTTTGTTGACAAAGATACGGAAATCTCCATATGTTTGCCAGTCCAATTGCGTAAGAGACGAGAGCACAAAAAAACTGCATTTTGTTTCCCCACGCCGCTCGTCTCTGACTGTCCGGACCAGGTATTTGTATAGTGACCACTTCAAGATCGTCGTTTTCACTTCCACAATCATCGTTGCCTTCTCTATTTTCTGCTCTCATCAAGTCAAGTTGCGTTTCCCTAGTTGTATTCATTTTACCAAGTTATTTTATACACACGGAAAGAAACGTTTACATTAATCACAATTAATAGCTTTCTTGGTCTGTACGCTGCCACCAGATCATGTATGATGTGGGCGTGTAGTAAACTGTAAAGTATCAACAGACCAAACGAAGCTGATGCAGTCAGTGATTGCTACCTCAACAAATGCGACGAACGCGTGCTGGCGTGAATCTCGTGCAGCGCGTTAGCATTCCGTCGATATCATTTCAACCATAGATGTTTCAACCAATCACGACTGACTCGCTCGCTGGTTGGCTGCGAGAAGATGTCGTCATTTATGGCCCAGTCACACCATAGATATAGAAGAGAAGATATATATCTATGGTCACACATACGCGACGCACGGCCCGCGCATTGAAAAATGGAAAATAAGATCAGTGTGTCGTTGTGCGCCCAACTTTTGTCAGGATTTGGGAGAAGCTAGCGAGTTGACAACGAATGCACACCGTGTTGCTAGCGCGCTGCGCGTATACAGGGCGCATACAGAGCGCATACAGAGCGTATACAGGGCGCACATGTTAAAAAATCCAACGAATGCACAGCTTGTTGCTAGCGCACGGAACGAATGGTCCGCGCATGCACCGCGCATTCAACGCACAGCCAGCGAACGGCAGCGGTCATGCATGCTGTGACAATGAGCTTGACGGTCCCGGGCTGCTGCTGCATCGTGCTCAGGAGAACTTGGAAACGGTTGGTCAGGATGCCGAAGGCATTTTCTACGACCCTCCTGGCTCGGGAAAGCCGGTAGTTCAAGATGCGCTCCGGCCGCGTCATACCCCGGAGGCTGTACGGCTTCATCATGTTGGGTCGTAGGGCAAAGGCCTTAGCCATCGTCGCCTACGAAGAATGTAGGGCACATCCTGGTTGTCGTTGGGAAGAGGATCGGGATCAGGGAAGCCTAGACTACCATCTTCAACGCATTCATTCAGCTCAGAGGCATTGTAGATCTGAGCGTCTGATGCTGATCCCATACCGCCGATGTCTGCCCAGATAAACTTGTAATCAGCATCCATGAGCGCCATGAGGACAACGGAGTGGAACCCGTTGTAGTACTGTAGTCAGGGGCGTGTACAGGGGGGGGGGGGTCCACTATTTATCATCTTGTGACAGCAGAAATGTTAGTGGAGCCCACACAAGTTAGTTATAGCAAAGAAATCACCGAAATTGACATATCAAACACGAATAAAAACTGTATACCTAAACTTATATTACGCATCCTTACTCCAAATGAACGTTTGGTTCCTTAGTAAATGTAATATTTAAGACGTTCTTCAAGTCGTCACATAGAAGTTTTCGGTCCCTCAAATTATTAACTATTATTCGTTGACGTATCATAAGCTTATAGGGCCATATGTGTTAAAATGTTAAATATTCTTACATTGTAAAGAAACCTCCACCTGTGCAATCAGTGCTAGAGATATCACATTTACCTTTCACCGTGAAATTACACAGCGCGCAAATCACACAAAGCGTAGTGCTGTAGCATATATGTCTAACTGGTTTGTGTAACAACAAATGTCGCATGTGATAAGTCATTAAGTGACTAGTAATGACCAAGTCATTAAGTTACCAGGATTAAACGTTGATTGCGAAACAACTTGTGACGAGCTTGACGTGATATGTATATAATATATGTCACTAGACACATACCTCTAATCTAGCGTAGCGTGACTTAAAATATGTTTCATAGCAGAAATGGTAAGTGTCATGGTGACATATACGATGTCACGATTGTAAGTAATGTGAGATAATATCTTTATTACAAGTACAGTGTGGCATAAGATGCCTCATTAATGTAAAATGGCATTAAATGCATTATATTACATTATGGCATTATTGTAATATGATAAGATACTGTGTATGTAAATTGTGGTGTTTGCGACAGAGCACGGGAAGCGTGAAGCAATACGGGCCCGCAGTATTACACAAATACTTTTATGGATATAATCAAATTGAGCCAGCATCTGAAGGAATAACAATTGACACACACAGATTGACATTGCTCAAATAACAATTACTTTACACTCTTATGCATCAGCAATAGTCTACAACCATAGAATGGCCTTCGCCCCGTATTACACACCCGATAGAAAAAGCTCTTAGAACAGTGGTTCTTAACCTTTTTTGAGTCATGGACCCCTTTGAAAATCTGGTGAAACCTACGGACCCCTCCCCAGAAAAGTGCACATAAGCAGCTAGCGAACCTAAATTTTAAATAATTTTTATGCGCCTGGTTCACGGACCCCCTGAAGCCCATTCACGGACCGCAAAGGGGTCTATGGACCACATGTTAAGAACCCCTGCCTAAGAAGAACACAACCATGAAATAATTGCACACGCTTTAATTTAGTTGCCGTATCAAAACAACTCTGCCAATATGTATATACTCGAGGGGCTTTTTTATGAAGCTTAAATTACCAAGCTCTAAAATTAGACCTGCGAGGAATACAAAGAAATATATTCG